TATATCCTCTCGCGTGTTGATGTTCTCCGTATCCATAGCCAGAATGATTTTGCAGTGCATGATGATTGAACAGGTTTCCTGTTATATTCATCAGAGGTGTAGGGAGGGTGAAGTCTGTGAATCCAAAAAAATTGTAATTATACAGATGTTTAACAAAACATGCACACAACAGAATTCATATCTTGTTTTTTGTGGTGAATGTGAATGAAAAAAAAAAACTGTTTTGATCATGGTTTTCATACACATACCTTGTCCATAATGTAGAGGCCTATGGGATATTCATTGAAGAGGTAAGGAAGGAGGATAGTAAATGTGATCTGCATAACATACCAATACCAGTTGACATACCTTTGTATGCCTCCTTGTCTGTATACCTGCAGACACAGATACAAAAGTGAGCAGTTCAGTCATCTGCACCCAAAACAGCTAGCCTTCAACATGTTCTTATAGCATACATATTCTTACCTCTTTGTTGATTGATATCCATTGAATTGTGTCCATTTTCTGTTTTAGAAAGATTTGCACAAATATGAAAAGATAGATGATATCATCATAAAACAATATCAATTTAGATCATACAATGGACAAACCTTACCTTAAATTGAGGAGATCTTTACATTTTTCAATTAAAAATCAAATCAAATCAAATCAAATTTTATTGGTCACATGCGCCGAATACAACAGGTGCAGACATTACAGTGAAATGCTTACTTACAGCCCTTAACCAACAGTGCATTTATTTTAAACAAAAAAAGTAAGAATAAAACAACAACAAAAAAAGTGTTGAGAAAAAAAGAGCAGAAGTAAAATAAAGTGACAGTAGGGAGGCTATATATACAGGGGGGTACCGTTGCAGAGTCAATGTGCAGGGGCACTGGCTAGTTGAGGTAGTTGAGGTAATATGTACATGTGGGTAGAGTTAAAGTGACTGTGCATAAATACTTAACAGAGTAGCAGCAGCGTAAAAAGGATGGGGTGGGGGGGCAGTGCAAATAGTCTGGGTAGCCATGATTAGCTGTTCAGGAGTCTTATGGCCAGGGACGGCCTGTTCAATAGGGCGATATGGGCGACGCACTGCCAAACGGGAAAAGGAAGGGATTTTTTTTCTAATCAATTATATCACGGCAACAGTACTTATCAGTGTTGTAATCTATACGTCTGATCTGCCACAGTGCCACACTGCCACTAAATGTCGAATCAGGCTAAAGTCGTGCTTCAAATGGCTCCACCCCCTTTTGGGGCGATTTCAGTCAGATTGAAAATCGCCCAGAACTTCTGTCATAGACTCCCATGTAAAATCTATTTTTTTCAAATTTCAGAGCCTTCAATACAATCTCAATGGGTGTCTGTGGGCTTGCACTTACGCGCTTTCGTCACATGAACGTAACTAAGAAAAGAGAGGGTAGCAGCGTCAATCAATTCACTACTACTATCAACATGGCTAGGCTTCAGTGCAACTCGGTTGTGTCTTTGAAAGAATTTCCTTTTTGTCGGCGAACAAATGAAGATAAATTGGCAACGAAACAATTAGGACCTCCCAGACCAAATTTAATAATTCAACAGGTTTCTACTAAAGGCGGAAAGTCCTACACCCGAGGATTTTCCAAAAATTGGTACGAACGAAAAAAGACATTGCCACTCACTCAACTGGATGACGAGGGATACAGGCTAGCTGTCCGCCGCCACAACGATGAGGTTAGTGTTGATAATCACAAGTTTACTGGATGTGGATATGGTGTAATAAAGGCAGTTTATTCAGAGGTAAATATATCTGGAATCGCGTTCACGGACCCGTTCGTCAAACTCTTAAAAATGAACTTGGGCTGGGAATTGCCAGGAACCTCACGATAAGATATATGCATCAGCATTGCGAGTCTCATGATTCTATACGTATTGCGATTCGATACTGTGATTTTATTGCGCACCATATGTCTGTTGCAGAGGGATCAGAAAGCCATGAGAACGAGTTTTGATCAGTCATGGAAATAAAAGTGCTGAAAACAAATTGGCTCCCAATGTGAAAAGATTGAGAACAAGCTATGAAGGAACAATAATGGTGTTTTGGTGCAGGTACAGCCAACTAGCGCTAAAATATTGCGATATTGTCAATACAGTATATCGTAAAGTATCACTATGTAACTCGATTTCTTTCACCCCAATCCCTCAAATTAACGGTAAATAACTGAATTGTTTGCCCCACATTTAGCTAAGATGATTAGCTAGCCAGCTAAAATGTTTTAGTTAGTTAGCAGTCGCATCTACAATAGTTTACTGTCAATAACATGTCTCCAAAAATGACGTGGTGTCTCCAATTGTGTTGACATTTTACAATTGCAATGCGCATCCATGAGTATCCACTTTCTGTAGCTCAGCTGGTAGAGCATGGTGCTTGTAACGCCAAGGTAGTGGGTTCGATCCCCGGGACCACCCATACACAAAAATGTATGCACGCATGACTGTAAGTCGCTTTGGATAAAAGCGTCTGCTAAATGGCATATTATTATTATTATTATTATTATCTGAAGAGAGCCCCGAAACATTGTGTGCAGACATTTTATGCATAAATGAAGTAGGTTCAATCTAGTAGTTCTGATCTTCTGATTGGTCCTGATGAGTTGGGCGAGGTCACCTCCAGGCTACTGTCACTGTTGCATTGGCTCTGAGTCGGGTTCTCTGTCTTCAAATGTTCAGCCTAAGAGAGGGGATTTTTGTGTGTGTGTGTGTGTTTAACAGTGATGATGTGTGTGTGTGTGTGTTTAACAGTGATGATGTGTGTGTGTGTGTTTGTGTGTGTGTGTGTCCTCAGAGCAAGAACTCGTGAGTTGGAAGAACTGAGAGGCCTATGGCGTGGGTGTTGTCCTTGGCCACCTGCTGACAAGGCTGACAAGATAGGACCCTTTTGTCCATTGTTATTGGATAGGAACAGAACTTATAACCAGCTCCTGACCTAAATAGATCTTAGCACAACATTTTACTCAACATATCATATTCCATATTCACTATAACAAATATATTTACTACGACATTAGCAAGAACCGCCACATCCTCAGCCGGCTAATCCAGTGTGTGAAGTTTTGCGGAGTGTTTGAGTTAGCTTTGCGAGGCAAAGATGAAACTGAGGGCTCCACCAACCCTGGTAAGCCAACACTTTTGAGATCAGTCAATAAATGCTTCTGGTATTGACTTATATGCTGCCCCTGTCTTCATGTTGTTGCTGGACATATCTTTTTTTAAATGTGTGTAGGTCACCTAAATCATCAGAAAAATTGCCCCTCCTGAGAATTTTTTCAGGAGCCGCCACTGCTTATGGCTTGGGGGTAGAAGCTGTTGAGAAGTCTTTTGGACCTAGACTTGGCACTCCGGTACCGCTTGCCGTGCGGTAGCAGAGAGAACAGTCTATGACTAGGGTGGCTGGAGTCTTTGACAATTCATATCTTAACATCATGACCTGCTGTCCTTTCAAATTCAAATCCAAGTATTTCAGTTGGGCAGTTAGGTTCCTGCAAGAACCCCCATCAACTAAAGAGGTTCCTCGATGAACCCCACCTCCTATGGGGTTCTTGGAATAACCTTTTGGGGACAATTTTTTGTGTCAAGAACCCTACGGTTCTTCAAAGAACTTTGATGATCTTAGAAGAACCCTTGTTGAACCCCTAATCTTTAGAGTGTAAATGTAGTCACTATTGGGTTGCATCAGTAAATTGAAATTGACTGAATACTTCATCATAACCGAATAAATTCATTCATCTTGAATGATTGGCAGCAAAAACAATAAAAGTAATTTCTTCACACAGAGGTGCAACAATAATTTGATCATGTCATGTTTAGTTAATTCATGGCATGTGTGGCCTGGGGCAACTCCTCATTGCGCAAAATAGTATGCAGCATCATCTAGATATGTGTGCAACAAAAGTTCAACATTCACCTTCTGCTACCATTTCTGTCAACCCGTTTACGCATACAGTTTGACGCATACGTTCGATAAATCCAACGTATGCACCACACAGCACGTACCACTGCCGCTGTAACGCAATGCTGCGAGGCAAACGCAGCGTTCCATTGGAAATGAATGTACTTGTGGTGTCACAAAACGCAATGACACAGTCGGTGTGTTCAAAGCGTTACAGTGTTACTACAGCACACAATAGTGTTACAATAGTATTACAGTGTATCCCCGCCTACATTGACACCTTCAAGGTGCACGTTTTTGAATTCGAATTAGGGCTTTGATGGGATTGCAAGGGCAGGGTACACTCACTGTTGAATTATGTAAATATTGATGCAAGGAATGGATACATTTCTTTGTGTATGCACTAGGTGGTGCACTGTGAAAGTCGGCAAGTTAGGTTTGATCATTAGTAACAAAATCTGGTTGCTCAGTAGCGCCACTTGCTCTTGCCTAGCGGCAATACCCATCCGTTACAGTGTTATTACACCCCTCATGACCATGAATGAGCCAATAGGCTTTGGGAGGCAGAGTTCTCCCTGTGGCCGCCATTAAAGAAAGGAATCCATGAATTCAAATGGGAACCAGCAGGAACAGAGACCGAAATAATGGTTAAAATTACCGTAAAAATATAGGCATATGCCCATTTTTTATCGGTTTTTAAGGATGTTATTCGTTTTTAGATCGATTTTGATGGTGATGGAGGAGTAGAGGGACGTTTTTAGCAAAGCCCGTTTTAAGCTAAGGGGGAGGGGGAGAGTTGCTTCTTTACTCTCCTTTTCTTTTTGTTTTAAAGCATTTTTCGCTCACTTAATTTTTTTAACTTAATGTGTATTTGAGAGGTCGACAGAGAGGTTGCGGAGACGATATTTTAACTGCTTTTATTTTTGGGTGGACAATAGCATTCGAAGGGTTGTTGAATTACATACTCCAGCCGATTGTTTAAAAATAATTATCGTTGATTAGCTTATACATCTTGCAAAATACATTTGGAAATCGGTATTTATTTCCCCCGGAACTGAAATGATGGAATGTTCAATCTCGCTGTGAAAGGATGAGTTCTTGTTTTGTACCGAACGGGGCCAGTTTGGAGGATTGCCATTCCAATCTATTCTGTCTGGTAAGAGATTTAAAACTATAGGAAAAGCAGCCATTTTTAACTAGCTGAAGAGAGCAAAAACGGTAGCCACAACAGTGGGAAAGCAGGTGTAGGGCCTGTCGAGCACTGCAATTCAGACATCATTCACCAAGGCAATGTTTATTTGCATACTACGAAGTTGTGCAAGATTAAGTAATAATAGGGTTATCTGTCACTTGCAGCTGCATGCATGCTTGTGTTTGCCATCATAAATGTTCAGTTTGATCATACTAAATGCATTCCAGCCATGAGAGGTTAGGCAATAAAAGTGCAACTAATGTAATGTGTGTTGATAAACATCTTAGCCAACTAGCTATAACTAGTAACACTGAATACCAAGCATGATACATGTTTGTGCTCATCTAGTTTACTTGGTTGAAGTAACGTTGGGCTTTTTATCGAATGCATTGTGCAGCATGTTTACGTGACCTAAAAATAAACCCAAACAGTTTGCTAGCCTGCTAACTAGTTTGCAATGTCGTTCATTTGCACAAATAGCAAGTTAGCTAAATTGCAGACACATTTACATTCGGTCATGGAATGCAAAGTAAAGGCTCGTGAACATTGGCTTCTAATTTCAACTCCCATGTTCAATCAATGAATTAATCATGTTGTTCTTGTCAGTTGGCCGGTGTAGTTGTTCAGATACATTGCTTGCTACATTGTTTCCTTTAAAGTAGCCAATGAAGAGCTTAGTTAGTGAAACAGGGTAGCCTATTCGCGGGCTTACATACAGTACTTTCCCTTTGAAGTTGTCAAGTTTGCTTGCCAATCATTTGTTGTTTACACTCTTGGCTCGCGCATACCTAACGGAGGCACGGGCTGAAATATTAATAAACAAGAATGTACTCTTGGCTATTGTTAGTGCATGATATACTTTAGGACTTAGTTCCCGTCTGGCAAGTTTTCAGTTGAATACATTGTTCATGACAGATTAATTGTTTGATTTTTTTGTGTATTTATTTTTCTGTCTTAGTTCTCATAGTGCTGATTGATACTGTTGCTAGTCAGTCGTAAACAATTGAATTATATAGCTATCATAAACACATACAACCAACAGTACCTAATATATTTTGGTTATAGCCTACTATTACGACTGAAGGAAAAAGCTCACACGTCCCCTCTTGTCCCTGGCACTACTACTACTCGCTAGAACAATCTAGGAGTTTCTCAGTAGTGCACTAACTATAGGTTTGCATCAATGCATTGTATTTTTTTCTGTACAATATGCATTGCATGACATATGTTAACAATTCCCCTTCATGAAGGTTAAATTAATAAATCATGATACACTTTGGACATTGATAGACATGAACTGTCCTTTTCCAAAGCATTTGACAGTAGAGCTGAATGAACAGGAGAGGCTATGAGGCTAGTAGTGAATGACTGGCTGCTGTATTGCAATAGCAGGGAGACATTTTACTGCATACTGAGACTAAGCATGATACCAGTGCTGCTGTTCACGGTCATGTATGACTCGCACACTAACCAGACTTAGTGGTTTTAGGCTGAAAGAATGCAGTGAACAGTGGCACTTTCCCCATAACTTTAAACAGTTCTCAGGAGTCTTATAGCAATGTTTTCTGTACAATTATTGTTTGTATTTGAAGTTAAGCAGATTTTGCTTGCAAATGTGTGGGTGGTGAAGTTTGAAGATTAGTTATTATGTGTGTATAACACATGCATTTCATAAATCAAGTCACATCACAACTGCCCTGCTAGACTAGTGTCTCTTGGCAGTCTAAGTTCTCACCCTTGTGTAGAAGAAAGTAATTGTAGGGCTCATCAAACTCCTTTCGGGCTGGGCAGGATTAGAACAAAAACCAACACTGCAGCAGCGACAAATGCTGTGCAGAAGGAAAGGCTGGGCGAGACAAGAGAGTAGACCAAGTGGATTTGCATTTCTCTGGAGTTCTCCAAGATGCAAACACTTGTTAACTAGTTTCATGTGTTGCAGCCGGAGGGTGAGGCCTTGACAGAGAGTATCTGGTAGTGGTGGTGGGGTGTCTATCCGTCTGCTCAGGAATGATTTGAGCAACTTCACCTGTTGCCTGTCTCTGGCCTGGGAGGGAGACTGGCCTGGGAGAGAGACTGGCCTGGGAGAGAGACTGGCAGGAAGGGAAAGGAAAGGGGGATACCTAGTCAGTTGTACAACTGAATGCATTCAACTGAAATGTGTCTCCCGCATTTAACCCAACCCCTCTAAATCAGAGAGGTGCGGGGGGCTGCCTTAATCGACTTCCACGTCATCGGCGCACAGGGAACAGTGAGTTAACTGCCTTGCTCAGGGGCAGAACGACAGATTTTTACCTTGTCAGCTCGGGAATTCGATCCAGCAACCTTTCCAAATCAAATCAAAAAATCAAATCAAATTTTATTTGTCACATGCGCCGAATACAGTGAAATGCTTACTTACAAGCCCTTAACCAACAATGCAGTTTTAAGAAAGAATATACAATATAAAATAATACAAAATAAAAGTAACAAATAATTAAAGAGCAGCAGTAAAAATAACAATAGCGAGGCTATATACAGGGGGTACCGGTACCAAGTCAATGTGCGGGGGCACCGGTTAGTCGAGGTAATTGAGGTAATATGGACATGTAGGTAGAGTTATTAAAGTGACTATGCATAGATAATAAACAGAGAGTAGCAGCAGTGTAAAAGAGAGGGGGGGGGGGCAATGCTTATAGTCCACAATGTGACCTGGAGCGCTGAGCGGGAAGGTGCGCGAAGCTGAGCAGAGCTGAGCAGCTGACGAAGGAGGGGTCGTAACCCTCAAATCCCAGACAGATTTAACGTCAACTTCCTGAGTCCGTCAAATAGCTTTGCCCTCAGATTCCCCTATCGCTGCTATGGGGGTTTGGCTTGCCATCTGAAAAGGGAAACTTAACCCGACCCTGGTTCTTGCCCTTTTAGTGGGGTACACTTTGCATACACAATTGCCTACATACCAGAGCATAATACTAACAGTCAGCTAGCCATGTCATTAGTCAGTTTGAAGGAAACACACATTTCCCTGACACTCACTCACTCATTCATCCTGCATACAGACTGTAACTCAGATGTACTGTATTTTGAAAAGATAGATTGATTGATTGACCGCAGAAGGCACACAGACCCTTGACGGCGCAATCTGCCTCTTGAAGATTGCCACTTAGTATTTGCAGAGAATAGCCTAGTTTATGTATCGAAAGCCTCAACTTGATCTTTGACAGGGAAAACAGCCATGCCAAGGCTTTGGATAGCCTCACATTGACAGAGAAAAACATTTACAAAAAATCAGAGCTGTCATCAGAAGACTGGATTGTGCGATGAAAGTACATTTCTGTAGAAGAATAAGTGAGATGTATGCAGGCAAACTGTCCAAGCACAGCCCATTTCAGAAACAGTCAGATTCTATAAGTGCGGATGATCTGGTTTCACACTTCAGTTTTGTTTCCATCCCCTTCCTTTCTGTGCAGCACAAATGTTTCTCTGCAAGATGCAGGTGTCAGGTAGTTCCTCACACCACTGTGTCTGCCACCATGAGAGAGAGGGCTTGATGGAGGGAGTTAGTGAAACATAAACTGCAGCAGTAGGACTATACCGTGGAAGGAATAAGCTATAGGTTATAGGCCTATATGATAAATGAACATGGGCTTGTGAATAGTTGTCTGGAACAGCGTTTGAATGCCCTTGAGCAAGATTCCTGATGTGAGATATTTCCTATGATGTTGCTTGATGAATGGATAATACGTGATAACATGGCAGTAAGAGGCTGAGAGTTGGTGTGTCTACCAATCATAATAAATCTTAGCAATGAAAAACAAATTTAGGGGTACATGGGATAGAGTAGTGTTGAGGAAAGTTATTTTTTGTTTTGGCCATGTGTGGAATAGATTTGTTGTCATCTTGTGATTTTTTTTTTTTTACAGATTGTGCCACTAAACTCAACAGCCTATGAGCTTTCAATAATTGGAATCTCTCAATTTCTGTATACTGAACAAAAATATAAACGCAATTTTACTGAGTTACAGTTCATCAAAGGAAATCAGTCAATTGAAATAAATTCATTAGGCCCTGATCTATGGATTTCACATGACTGGGAAGGGGTGCAGCCATGGGTGGGCCTTGGAGGGCATAGGCCCACCCACTTGGCAGCCAGGCCCAGCCATTAGGGAGCCAGGCCCAGCAAATCAGAATGCGTTTTTCCCCACAAAAGGGCTTTATTACAGACAGAAATACTTCTGTTCAGTGTAGTTACAGTTGCTCATCATATTTGGTAATGAGACTAGCTATTTTTTGCTGAGATCATTGTAGCATTATGATTTCAGTAGCGTTCTATGGCCAGTGTATGGCTGCCCTGGCTGCCATGTTAGATTGGATAACTAAAACTTGTTGTTGTGATCCAGCTTGGCTCCAGTTGACAACACAAATCTCCCAGCTTATCCGTGGCTAGGCTAAAGACTAGCTATAACACAACCAGGCTTAATCGCTTGGTCGCGCTCATAGCGTTTAAATTGATTTAAGTTTACCCCAGCCAAAATAATAGATTGTCTACTTCTAACAAAGTGACAGTTGGTCGACTCGAACATATTGCCTAGCAGCGCAAAATAACCTACCTAAAAAATCAGTAGGTCCAGTTGAAGAAAATCAGTTCAACTGTCTGCCATGCTGCAAGGATAGATAGGAGAGCCAGCTCCATCAGGAGTAGTACTGCAAGGTAATATAGCAACATAGGTTGTGGGGATGGTGTTGGCCTTTGCAGTATGTAAGTGTAAGACATGGGCACAGAGTGTAAGCCTAAAACACTGGAAGGCATGATGTATTCAGCAGTGGGTGGTGTAGTGTACGTTTTAGTGGTATGTTAGTGGTGTGAGAGACAGTGTATGGCGTCAGTGTAGGACATGAGTACAGGGATCGCTGGTTGGTTGTATGTACGTAGGGCCTGCTGTCTGATGAGTACCAGCCAGCCGGCAGGACTAAGCAGGCAGCAGTAGCAGTGGAGCATAATGTTCCTGCTTCAACACTTCATAACCCTGTAGAACCCTGTGCTGCTGCCTGTGATTTACGACCTATGAGTTTCTCTGTGTTGTGTTTTCACTCTCTATAAAAACCTTTGGGGAGTGTGCCCACTGCCAAACAGCCTTGGTTATTACAGAGCAGTGGGCACACTCCCCAAAGCACTCATCATTAAAAAGGATGAAGTTGGTCAGAGCACATTTACAAGCATTAGGGAGTTATTTTTTATCAAGCTTTGAGCACGTTGTTCATGTTGAGATTGAAAGCACCTGAAGCTAAAATGCACACAATCAGAACAAAAACAAACAAATACTTTTTTGTGTGTGCTGCATCGTTCTCCAGCCGTGTTTCTTTCTGTTTATATTGCAGCCTTTTCTCTATCACCGTCTGTCTGTCTGTCTGTTGTCTCAATCTTCCTGTCTTTATCTTCCTTTATCTCTGTCCTCCCTATATATATCTGTCTATCTCATTACATTACATTTACATCATTTAGCAGACGCTCTTATCCAGAGCAACTTACAGTTAGTGCATACATTATTTATAAAAAATTTATACTGGCCGCCCGTGGGAATCGAACCCACAACCCTGGTGTTGCAAACACCATGCTCTACCAACTGAGCTACATCCCTGCTGGCCATTCCCTCCCCTACCCTGGACGACACTGGGCCAATTGTGCACCGCCCCATGGGTCTCCCGGTCGCGGCCGTCTACGACAGAGCCTCCCTATATATCTCTGTCTCTCTCCTCCCTCTATATCTCTGTCTCTCTCCACCTCTATCTCTCCTCTGTCTCCTCCCTCTATATATCTCTCTCTCTCCTCCCTCTATCTCTCCTCTGTCTCCTCCCTCTATATCTCTGTCTCTCTCCTCCCTCTATATCTCCTCTGTCTCCTCCCTCTATATCTCTGTCTCTCTCCTCCCTCTATATCTCCTCTGTCTCCTCCCTCTATATCTCTGTCTCTCTCCTCCCTCTATATCTCTGTCTCTCGCCTCCCTCTATCTCTCTGTCTCTCTCCTCCCTCTATCTCTCCTCTCTCTCCTCTCTCCTCCCTCTATATCTCTCTCTCCTCCCTCTATCTCCCTGTCTCTCTCCTCCCGCTATCTCTTCTCTCTCTCCTCCCTCTCTCTCCTCTCTCTCCTCCCTCTATCTCTCCTCTCTCTATCTCGCTGTCTCTCTCCTCCCTCTATCTCTCCTCTCTCTCCTCTCTCTATATCTCTGTCTCTCTCCTCCCTCTATCTCCCTATCTCTCTCCTCCCTCTATCCTTCCTCTATATCTCTGTCTCTCTCCTCCCTCTATATCTCCTCTCTCTCCTCCCTCTATCTCACTGTCTCTCTCCTCCCTCTATCTCTCCTCTCTCTCCTTCCTCTATAACTCTGTCTCTCTCCTCCCTCTATCTCTCCTCTCTCTCCTCCCTCTATATCTCTGTCTCTCTCCTCCCTCTATCTCCTCTCTCTCCTCCCTCTATCTTCGTCTCTCTCCTCCCTCTATCTCTCCTCTCTCTCCTCCCTCTATCTCCCTGTCTCTCTCCTCCCTCTATCTCTCCTCTCTCTCCTCCCTCTATCTCCCTGTCTCTCTCCTCCCTCTATCTCTCCTCTCTCTATATCTCCGTCTCTCTCCTCCCTCTATCTCTCCTCTCTCTCCTCCCCATCTCCCTGTCTCTCTCCTCCCTCTTATCTCTCCTCTCTCTCCTTTCTCTATCGTTGTCTCTCTCCTCACTCTCTCTGTTTTTCTCTCTCTCTTTCCTCTCTCTCACTCTCTGTTTTTCCATCTCTCTCTCTCTCTCTCTCTCTCTCTCTCTCGCTCTCTCTCTCTCTCTCTCTCTCTCTCTCTCTCTCTCTCTCTCTCTCTCTCTCTCTCTCTGTGTGTTTCTCTTCCTGTGGCTGTCTTCCTGTGTGTCTCCTTGTCATAAGTGTTCCTCTTGAGGAGGCAGAGGCTCCATAAAGGAGAATTAATGCTTGCTTTTTAAACGCTGCTCAGCAGATGTTTACTCACAGGTACTGGCTGGCTGCTGAGTACTGGCTATTGTAGCAGAAGCTGACACTCTCTCTCTCTCCCTCCTTCCCCTCAGGCGGACCTGACGGGGATTAAATGGAAGCGGTACGTGTGGCAAGGCCCCACCTCGGCACCCATCCTCTTCCCGGTGACCGAGGAGGACCCCATCCTGTGCAGCTTCAGCCGCTGCCTCAAGGTGGATGTGCTGAGCGTGTGGCGGCGGAGCCAGAGGCCCGGACGTAGGGAGCTCTGGATCTTCTGGTGGGGGGACGACCCCAACTTCGCCAAGCTGATCCATCACGAACTTACAGGTGAGACTGAGGCTAGAGGGAGTGGGCGTAGTCACACACACACACACACACACACACACACACACACACACACACACGCACACACGCTAGCTTGGCTATAATACCTGCCATGGTCCAATAACTTGAAACTGCAGTCCTAAGCCTGTGTGATGGCTTTGGCCTATTAACAGAAGAATACAGTCCAAGCCACGGCCCTCTCAGATCAGGAGATTCACTCCTTTTTCCATGCTGCTTCCATGTTTTGGATTGCCTTAGCTGGTCACAAGAGATAAATGAGGGATTCATTTGTCTTTCAATGCACCTTTTTACGCATTCACCCAAGATTATAGACGTATAGACGTTTGAACGTCTTGAAGAACGATCTGGCCTTAATTGCCATGTACTTTTATCATCTCCACCCGGCACAGCCAGAAGAGGACTGGCCACCCCTCGGAGCCTGGTTCCTCTCTACGTTTCTTCCTAAGTTTCTGCCTTTCTAGGGAGTTTTTCCTAGCCACTCTGCTTCTGCATCTGTATTGCTTGCTCTTTGGGGTTTTAGGCTGGGTTTCTGTATAGCACTTTGTGACAACTGCTGATGTAAAAAGGGCTTTATAAAATATTGATTAATTGACAGAGCTGGTTAAATGGGTGATTATTGTAAAAGATCATGAAAAGGGCTTGTTACATCTGTTTAAAAAAGAGCACCTTGATACACTCTCTTTGTGATGATGGTAGTAGTGATCTGGTTGTATAATGGGAAATATTACATGGTTCAGGACAGGGGTTGATTGTGAGGCTGATTGACGCTGGAAGCTCCGGGGATATCCATTCCCTGTAAGTGAGAGCTTAGAAGGCGTTAGAGTTGGTGTAATCAGATAGCTCCCTTAGTTTCCCCCTCATCCCCTAAATGACAAGCAGCCAGCCTGGCAGAGAACAGCCTTCACCTGCACGTCAACTCCCACTGTTTGGAGCAAACGCTCACTGCAACCACAGTTTTTTTTTGGTGTTCACACACGTCGCAGCATCTAAGCGTCTTCTGCCCTCTGGCACACAATAAAGCAGCGCCCTGCACTTTGTGTCGCCGAGGCTGAACAAGAAAGCCTATTCCATCTTCCCATTTAAAAAGGAGGATAGAAATGGAGCTCCCTCCTCCTCTCATGACTTCTGTGAAAAATGGAATATGCAGGAGCAACGATGTAGAAATGACCCTATCACATCATGGAGGTCTGGCCTGGCGCTTTCGCTCTTTTTCCCCTCCCTCCTCGCGTTGTGTATTTTTTCTGCAGCAGCAGTGGAGGATGGACAGAGGCCTACTTTATACATGCTCTCTGGCGGGGAGATTGAACTCCTGAGTCTGAGCCGTTTCACACACACACACACACACACACACACACACACACACACACACACACACACACACACACACACACACACACACACACACACACACACACAGCCCTCCTTTATTATGACACAATGTGCCTGAAGTGGTCTGGAAGTGGAAGCTGAAGGGCGTGAAGGCTTCCATTCCAGCCCTAATGGGTCCCGGTAATAACCTGCAGTAGTAGTATGTGGATATTTGTTGCTTACTGCATACGTTCTAAATAGTTTGTAGGCTAGTACTATTAGTACACAGTATGTCGTTTTAGTAAGCAGTATGCAAGACAGATTTCGGACACGGCCATGGTATTTTACTTTCACATTTGTTTTCTCCTGGTGAGACACATGCTGTTCTCACAGTCAAATATTTGTTTTGGAGAAGTCACATGGCAGAAGTTGAAATGTAACAAGGTGGCACAGTGCCACTATTCCACTGGTTGGGTAGAAGAACCCTGGACTGGATTTGCATAGGAGAGAAAAGCACATTCTCACACACTTTTTAGCATCTAATTTAACCACAAAATACTAAGACAAGGAATTGGTACAAATATAATTATTTGCTAGTGAAAATGTATTCTAATAGGTAGATTGTACAATTGTCCTAAGTACAATAAGTGTTGACTGTGTAGTCATACTTCTTCAATGTGTGTCAAGCCTCTTGTCCTGGTGAGAATTGCTCCCAGCTGTGGTTGTTTGGAGTAATCTCTGTGCTTCCTGTTTTGGAAGTTCCCTGGAAGACAGACCCCCAACCCCCACCCACCCACACACACACACACACACACACACACACACACACACACACACACACACACACACACACACACACACACTCTACACAGTGTGGGAGAACAGAGGAGCCTCACTGGACTGACCTCAGGGCAGCCAGACCCTCCCTCTCTCCTCTCTATGTATCTACAGTGGGGAGAAAAAGAATTTGATACACTGCCGATTTTGCAGGTTTTCCTACTTACAAAGCATGTAGAGGTCTGTAATTTTTATCATAGGTACACTTCAACTGTGAGAGACGGAATCTAAAACAAAAATCCAGAAAATCACATTGTATGATTTTTAAGTAATTAATTTGCATTTTATTGTATGACATAAGTATTTGATACATCAGAAAAGCAGAACTTAATATTTGGTACAGAAACCTTTGTTTGCAATTACAGAGATCATACGTTTCCTGTAGGTCTTGACCAGGTTTGCACACACTGCAGCAGGGATTTTGGCCCACTCCTCCATACAGACCTTCTCCAGATCCTTCAGGTTTCGGGGCTGTCGCTGGGCAATACGGACTTTCAGCTCCCTCCAAAGATTGTATATTGGGTTCAGGTCTGGAGACTGGCTAGGCCACTCCAGGACCTTGAGATGCTTCTTACGGAGCCACTCCTTAGTTGCCCTGGCTGTGTGTTTCGGGTCGTTGTCATGCTGGAAGACCCAGCCACGACCCATCTTCAATGCTCTTACTGAGGGAAGGAGGTTGTTGGCCAAGATCTCGCGATACATGGCCCCATCCATCCTCCCCTCAATACGGTGTAGTCGTCCTGTCCCCTTTGCAGAAAAGCATCCCCAAAGAATGATGTTTCCACCTCCATGCTTCACGGTTGGGATGGTGTTCTTGGGGTTGTACTCATCCTTCTTCTTCCTCCAAACACGGCGAGTGGAGTTTAGACCAAAAAGCTCTATTTTTGTCTCATCAGACCACATTATCTTCTCCCATTCTTCCTCTGGATCATCCAGATGGTCATTGGCAAACTTCAGACTGGCCTGGACATGCGCTGGCTCGAGCAGGGGGACCTTGCGTGCGCTGCAGGATTTTAATCCATGACGGCGTAGTGTGTTTCTAATGGTTTTCTTTGAGACTGTGGTCCCAGCTCTCTTCAGGTCATTGACCAGGTCCTGCCGTGTAGTTCTGGGCTGATCCTTCACCTTCCTCATGATCATTGATGCCCCACGAGGTGAGATCTTGCATGGAGCCCCAGACCGAGGGTGATTGACCGTCATCTTGAACTTCTTCCATTTTCTAATAATTGCGCCAACAGTTGTTGCCTTCTCACCAAACTGCTTGCCTATTGTTCTGTAGCCCATCCCAGCCTTGTGCAGGTCTACAATTTTATCCCTGATGTCCTTACAGAGCTCTCTGGTCTTGGCCATTGTGGAGAGGTTGGAGTCTGTTTGATTGTCTTTTATACAGGTAACGAGTTCAAACAGGTGCAGTTAATACAGGTAATGAGTGGAGAACAGGAGGGTTTCTTAAAGAAAAACTAACAGGTCTGTGAGAGCCGGAATTCTTACTGGTTGGTAGGTGATCAAATACTTATGTCATGCAATAAAATGCAAATTAATTACTTAAAAATCATACAATGTGATTTTCTGGATTTTAGTTTTAGATTCCGTCTCTCACAGTTGAAGTGTACCCATGATAAAAATTACAGACCTCTACATGCTTTGTAAGTAGGAAAACCTGCAAAATCTGCAGTGTATCAAATACTTGTTCTCCCCACTGTATCTGTCTGGTGAGAGGTTGTGCTGTTAGCCCTGAGAACACACAGAGAGGTCATGACCCCTACCTCACCAGCCTGAGGTGTGAACCTGTGTTTCCCTCTGTGGATCACACCGACTCACCTCTCTTCTCAGAGCCTGCAAAGTGCCTGTCCCACTGTGTGTGTGGGTGTCTCTGTGTGTGTGTGTGTGTGTGTGTGTGGACATTGCTGGGATGGGCTGAGACTGGCTCAGTCGTGATGATTCATAGCCTGATGCATTGGAGCCTCTCTTGGGCATGCTGGCAGTGAAGGTGTGAAGCGACACACAGAAGCTAGCGACAACTTGTGTTTTGGTGGCGGTGATCAGACTGGACGACACATCGCCAGTAATCTGGGATGCCACAGCCAGCTATTGTCAGCTGCTGAACACCTTGCTCTTTTCCCTCCATGCAAGTGGCTGATGGGTTTGTCCTTTTCCTCATCCGACTGTCCAAGTCAAATTGAGGTAATCCCTGGAAATATTAAGCACCTTTTTTTTGTTCCCCACCCCCCCCCCCCCCCATTGCAAGGTTGGTGGTAAACATGAAAATCTGATATTTTCTTTCAGAAGAAATGGCAGCAGCTTCTTTTACCCTTCCACACTGATTAGCAGCCTGGCTGTGGAAGTATTACTATTTTGAGCAAGTGCCATATCTGTGTAAATCAGAGGGCCAGTAATCCTTTCTCTCCAGAGAGTGAGAGAGAGAAGGTACCAGGTACCGCTAGCAGCATTTTAGCCAAAGACTGTTATACTAGCTGTCTAGTCTGTGTTTTATAAATGTGCAATAAGCATTAAACACATTTATATAAGGAATTGGCAACTCGTTCTCATGCTGTTCAAACAGTTGGAGATGGACAGAAGGGTGTGTTCATAATAATTGAACTGTTCTACCTTGTTAGCTAGCAAATAGATCGAAGTTGGCTAAACTTGAAATATAAAGATTAGCTGCCTACTCACTAGCACATTGGCTTGTGCTTGAGAGATTGTTTATGAGACCTGTGTTAATTTTCTATAATGCTGCTACAAGAAGTTAGTCATTATTAGTGAATGTGCATTGTGCATGGTTCTGGTTACAAAAAGGGGGCTTTTTCATAGACTGACTTGAAAGCCAGATCAGTGATTATTGCAAAAAGCAGGTTAAACTATTTTGATAAATCATTAAATTATTAGTGGGTCTTATGGTTGTGGAAGGCTTATATTTAGCCTAGGTATAATTTCACAAGCCTTGAATTCATTAGATTATGCAGTGTATTTTACCTTTAATTATACAACAAAGCTTATTTAGAGAAAACACACACAAAAAAAGAGATACAGTGCATTCAGAAAGTATTCAGACCCCTTGACTTTTTCCACATTTTGTTACGTTACAGCCTTATTCTAAAATTGATTAAATTGTTTTTTTCCATCATCAATCTACACACAATACCCCATAATGACAAAGCAAAAACAGGTTTTTAGAAATGTTTGCAAATGTATAACAAATACAAAACTGAAATATCACATTTACATAAGTATTCAGACCCTTTGTTGAAGCACCTTTGGCAGCGATTACAGCCTTGAGTTTTCTTGGGTATGACGCTACAAGCTTGGCACACCTGTATTTGGGGAGTTTCTCTCATTCTGCTCTGCAGATCCTCTCCAGCTCTGTCAGGTTGGATGGGGAGCGTCGCTGCACAGCTATTTTCAGGTCTCTCCAGAGATGTTCGATCAGGTTCAAGTCCGGGCTCTGGCTGGGCCACTCAAGGAAATTCAGAGATTTGTCCCAAAGCCACTCCTGCGTTGTCTTGGCTGTGTGCTTAGGGTCGTTGTCCTGTTGGAAGGTGAACCTTCGCCGCAGTCTGAGGTCCTGAGCGCTCTGGAGCAGGTTTTCATCAAGGATGTCTCTGTACTTTGCGCCGTTCATCTTTCCCTCGATGCTGACTAGTCTCCCAGTCCCTGCCGCTGAAAAACATCCCCACAGCATGATGCTGCCAACACCATGCTTCACCGTAGGGATGGTGCCAGGTTTCCTCCAGATGTGACGCTTGGCATTCAGGCCAAAGAGTTCAATCTTGATTTCATCAGACCAGAGAATCTTGTTTCTCATGGTCAGAGTCCTTTAGGTGCCTATTGGCAAACTCCAAGTGGGCTGTCATGTGCTTTTTACTGAGGGGTGGCTTCCGTCTGGCCACTCTACCATAAAGGCCTGATTGGTGGAGCGCTGCAGACATGGTTGTCCTTCTGGAAGGTTCTCCCATCTCCACAGAGGAACTCTGGAGCTCTGTCAGAGTGACCATCGGGTTCTTGGTCACCTCCCTGGAACAAGGCCCTTTTCCCCCGATTGCTCAGTTTTGCTGGGCGGCCAGCTCTAGGAAGAGTCTAGGTGGTTCCAAACTTCTTCCATTTAAGAATGATGAAGGCCACTGGGTTCTTGGGGACCTTCAATGCTGCAGAAATGTTTTGGTACCTTTCCCCAGA